CTCCGAGAATATTGCAGAAAGAAATGTTGAAGTGAATACATCAAGGACATTTAGGGCGTGATAAATGTTTGGCTAAAGCAAGATAAGTACATTTTTGGCCAGTAATAACATCACAGTTCATAGACATTGTATCTAGCTTCTCAGTATGCAGTGGGTATCAAAGGTCTCAGCAAAAACAATTCTAATATAGTCTACGAAATAACAAAGCTTCCTCAGGAAAAAAAATGGGGCTGATAATTTGCATTATACTGAAAAAAAAAATACTTACTTTTTGTTGAATACTACAGCAGATTATTTAAATTTTAGTCTCAATCCGTCTCTGAGATCTTCTGATTTGTTATTTCAAATTAGGTCTCAAATTGCTCGCCATGGCATCCCAAGAAAAGTAATTAGTGACAATGGACTTCTGTTTGGCTGGGATGATTTTCTCAACTTCTCAAATCAGTGAAAATTTTGTCTCACCCCTTCAAGTCCCAGATACACACAGTCCAAAGGCATGGCTGAACGAGCAATACAGACTGTAAAGAAACTTTAAAATAAATCTCCAGGTTTTGGGCCAAGATCCATATATTGCCCTATTGCCGTTTAAAAATGCTCCATGCCCTGAAGGACCTACACCTATATGGCAGCTCATGGGCCTACACCCGAGATCAACCGTTCCAGCTACTGATGCCTACCTCAAGCCAAAATAAATGGCAAACATCAAAAACATAATAAAAAACGAGCAAGCAAGATATTACAACAAAAGTGCGAAACTCATGAGCGGTCCAAAGATTCATCATGAGAGCAGTGACCTTATGCAGCAGAGCCCTCGAGGCTCACGGAAGCCAGCAGTAGTTATCAAAGAAGCCTGCACACCAAGTTCATATATTGTCACAACACCAGATGGGATGACATATCGACGTAATCGGAACATGTTAAAAGATACTTTTGCCGGGCAAAGCCGTGCTTCAGATGTATTCAAATATGATGACAGCACCGATATAACATATGATTAACAAGTTACCAACACAGAGTTTGCAAAAGAGACTGTAGTGAAAGTGTCGCTACTAAGTGCCATCAATCCTATTCCAGCACAAGTGGTAAACAGATAGGAAAGGCAAGTGAAACCATAGATGAATAGATGGATAGATGAATAGACGGATATATATATAGATATATACTTGGGCTTTTAACCTGAATCAGGCATTTTTAAAGAAAACAACTGGTGAGTCAAAGCGTTACACAAAATAATTTTTACAAAATTAACTTTTCATTTTCTATAATGTGCATTGAAATCTACCGTCAAATGCCCTAGTAATTGTGCACTAACTCCGTCGACCATTTGTTTCAAGAAATAGACCCTTGTCGGGATAGAGTTGACGTTTTACAAAAACCCGTCGACAGAGAAGGTACTGTCATTCTTTTTATAACAAATACTTAGGGAAACAGCAGACACAGTATAACGAGATTAGCCTCAACTTCAGTGTTATTTTTTTTAAATAAAAAAATAAGGAAAGAACAAAATTTCCACATTTTTACTTCGGTTAAAAAGACACTCGTTGTTTTTTTCATTGAGTGCTACCGATAAAAAACATGACAGGGGTAGGGCCGGTTAGACTTCTGTTTGGCTGGGATGATTTTCTCAACTTCTCAAATCAGTGAAAATTTTGTCTCACCCCTTCAAGTCCCAGATACACACAGTCCAAAGGCATGGCTGAACGAGCAATACAGACTGTAAAGAATCTTTAAAATAAATCTCCAGGTTTTGGGCCAAGATCCATATATTGCCCTATTGCCGTTTAAAAATGCTCCATGCCCTGAAGGACCTACACCTATATGGCAGCTCATGGGCCTACACCCGAGATCAACTGTTCCAGCTACTGATGCCTACCTCAAGCCAAAATAAATGGCCAACATCAAGAACATAATAAAAAACGAGCAAGCAAGATATTACAACAAAAGTGCGAAACTCATGAGCGGACCAAAGATTCATCCTGAGAGCAGTGACCTTATGCAGCAGAGCCCTCGAGGCTAACGGAAGCCAGCAGTAGTTATCAAAGAAGCCTCCACACCAAGTGCATATATTGTCACAACACCAGATGGGATGACATATCGACGTAATCGAAACATGTTAAAAGATACTTTTGACGGGCAAAGCCGTGCTTCAGATGTATTCAAATATGATGACAGCACCGATATAACATATGATTAACAAGTTACCAACACAGAGTTTGCAAAAGAGACTGTAGTGAAAGTGTCGCTACTAAGTGCCATCAATCCTATTCCAGCACAAGTGGTAAACAGATAGGGAAGGCAAGTGAAACCATAGATGAATAGATGGATAGATGGATAGATGAATAGACGGATATATATATAGATATATACTTGGGCTTTTAACCTGAATCCGGCATTTTTAAAGAAAACAACTGGTGAGTCAAAGCGTTACACAAAATAATTTTTACAAAATTAACTTTTCATTTTCTATAATGTGCATTGAAATCTACCGTCAAATCCCCTAGATTTTGTGCACTAACTCCGTCGACCATTTGTTTCAAGAAATAGACCCTTGTCGGGATAGAGTTGACGTTTTACAAAAACCCGTCGACAGAGAAGATACTGTCATTCTTTTTATAACAAATACTTAGGGAAACAGCAGGCACAGTATAACGAGATTAGCCTCAACTTCAGTGATATTTTTTTTAAATAAAAAAATAAGGAAAGAACAAAATTTCCACATTTTTACTTCGGTTAAAAAGACACTCGTTGTTTTTTTCATTGAGTGCTACCGATAAAAAACATGACAGGGGTAGGGCCGGTTGTGAAAAGGAAGCAGCCACATCAGAAGCAAAAGATATATAAGAAAGCGCAATACAGACAGTAAAGAGACACATGTTTACACATATAAATACAAAGTTTCCTGTAATGTGTGTACAGCTTTCAGTGGAGAGAAGTCTGTGGTTAAGTTAAAATTATTTGAACTATCAAAATATTCAGACTTCACTAAATGTATATATTCTTTATCATATGTGCAAATCCATATACAAACATTCATATTTCTTACCGTAGACAGCTGGTAGCTGGACTATCTTGCTGTCAGGATCCACTTTCAATAAAAAGCCTCTGATGCTGGCTTTACTGTATTCTCTAAGAGCTTTAAAAAGTAGGGTAATATGAAATTCTTTTTCCGATCGTTTTTCACAACTGAACTCAAAGTTTTCCTTAACCTTTCTTTGCACACATTCATTTGTAAGGTCAATTGTCACTAACTGAAATACGAAATAATATTGTTAGCATGAAAGAAAGAACAGTTATATACGATTGTATATATATATATATGTATACATAATATATATATTAAAGTTAAAATCTGTAGCTACATACAGCCGCGGTGGACTGGGCCACAAGGACACCGGAAAGATTCCCGATGGGCCGCTAGGACCTGTGATATAATAAAAATAAAAGTTATGAAGATAGGGCCGCTTTGATTTTTTCCCGAGCCGCTTTGATTTTTTCCCGGGCCGCTTGAACTCCCCAGTCCACCCCTGCATACAGCAGAGGAGAAGCCCTAAAACTATTTTGCAGTGCCGCGACCGATATTACTTCAAAACAATTCCCGTTATCGTATGTTGATTATAAAATAAATTTCCCTGCACAGTGTGTGTCTACGTGCACTCCTGGAAAATGTCCCCTGCACACTAAATTTGTTGGCATCCTTTATAGGCCATAGGAAAACTGCAGTAGAGAGTCTTTTTTTTTTATATTAATTGAGACTATGGTGTTTATATCTGTGTTTCTAGTTATATTTTCTCTGATAAGGGGACACTACCAAGGTTACGGCTGCGTGCATGAAGTTAGTGTACACAATACAATCTTACATCATAGTTCAACGCATATTTACACTGCCATAGGGTTAGCGAATTGATTTTGTTTTCAAAAGAAGGACCAGCACATTTCAGCAGAAAGTAGTTAGACAGTAACCATTTAAAATTACACGACAGGCGCTAAGAATAACAATCCGATGCCCAAAGAGCGTTGTATATAATTATTCTCAGGAAACTCCTCGGCATCAGGTGGCAAGACAAAGTCCCTAACACAGAGGTCCTCGCTAGAGGGAAACTACCTAGTATTTTTACCACCCTGATGCAGTCTCAACTCCGTTGTATGGGACACGCAGCCCGTACGGAACACCACCAGCTCCCAAAACAGATATTCTTCGGAGAACTCACGATAGGCAAGCGCTCATTAGGAGGTAAAATAAAAGCGTTAAAAAGACTCACTGAAAGTGGCACTAAAGGCCTTCAGCATCAACCCTACTCAATGGATGCAGACAGCCCAGGACAGAACCGGGTGGAGAGCAGCTGTCAAGAAGGTTGCTAAATCCCATAAAACTAATAGGATAACGACAGCTGATTCACGCAGGCTTGCCCTAAAGAGCAACATTAGTTTGCCGTCTGCAGCAAATATCCCCTGTCTGCGGTGACAGGGATTATTCCGAGCACGAATCGGTCTAGCAAGCCACCTACGAGCTCACCGTAACCCACCCTCCCCCTAACCAGATGACTCGATGGTCCTGGTCGACTTCGACAGACGAACAACAACTACAATATTGTTATCACGTTTGAAAACAGCTTCATCCTTCTTTAATCGCTTTGTGTTGCATCACTGAGGTTTCTTACACATATGATCCATGCAATGCGCTAGCGAAAAATAAAAACAAAATAATACAACAAAGGGTAATTTGGATAACACACCTTTCAGTTCATCGGGATTCAGAAAATCAAATCTCTAATGTTCTTTTTTTTTTTTTTTACAAAACTCAAACTATGCATTTACTAAATAATTTAATTGTATAAAGCAGCGGTTCTCAACACGTGGGTCACGACCCCTTTGGGGGTCGCCTAAGACCATCTGAAAACACATATCCTTACAGCTATGAAGTAGCTACGAAAATAATTGTGTGGCTGGGGGTCGCCACGACACTAGTAACTGTATTAAAGGGTCGCGGCACCTGGAAGGTTGAGAACCACTGGTATAAAGTATAACAACAGTCATAATTTTCATTTTTAAAAAAATGAAGATACAATTATACAATTGCCTGTAAACTGGTGTCAAAAATCTCGGCGCATATTTTCGGAAACGGGTGAAAATTGTTTTGTTTTTTTAAGTTTCCCCTAGATAATCTAACCAAAAAATTTTGAGATATCAAGACGTTTTAGATCGTTACAAGTTATGGAAGAATTGTTAGTTCAAACAAAAAAAATTACATGATATCGATTTAAGAAAATAAAAGTGATCTATGTTTTTTTTTTCCACCAGCGACCTTAAACTAGATACTTGATGACCCCATTGAGAGATGGCGACACATAGGAGGGAAGAGATCTCTTAATTATCATTACTTGTTTAAATTTTGATTCCAACTCCTCTTTTATCTCGAAATTGGCATAAAACCTTAAACTAGATACTTGATGACCCCATTGAGAGATGGCGACACATAGGAGGGAAGAGATCTCTTAATTATCATTACTTGTTTAAATTTTGATTCCAACTCCTCTTTTATCTCGAAATTGGCATAATCATAGTCTCCAACACTGCGATCCAAAAGGATCACGCTTTTGAGAGCAGATTGGTCGACTCCTCGTAGCACGCCACTTTGACATGTCGTATTTGAATCATTTTGTCTGTAGTTAATCAGCGTTAAGTTATCAGCGTAAACAAAATCTGTGGTAAAGATTAATATATAATTACCATAAAAAGTTTCATATGTCTGAAAATGTATAATTCCTTTAAAATGTGTGTATATAAGAAAACAAGATTTATTTATCAATACATCCATCCAGCCATGAATATGAGATTCATTAGTTTGAATTTCCATGTAAACATTACTTCACAAAATATAAAGGAGGGGATAGAAAAGCTTGACAATTTTTTTTTCAAGGGGTCGTAGCCAAAATAAAATGATGTCAACAATTATAATTTTCTTAGATATTTACAAATTAAAACCAATAATAGGCTAAGATTATTGTTGAAAATATGTATTCATTTTGATTGCTTATTTTATTTTTTTAAAATCCTTCGAGGCGAAGCAGTATGGGAAATATTATTTTTAATGTCTTATTGTCTGCATAAAATATGCACGATGATTATATACAGTCATTATTTCATATGGATATTTGAAGTTTGTTCACATCATTGTGTTGACATTAATTTTTTTTTTTAAAATACCGCAATTAATTTTTTTTTTTAAATTTAGGTTTTAAATAATATTTGTCATAATAATTTAATGTTACTATGGTTTGTCTTATTACATAGTAATAAATTTCTGGTAGCACTCGTACTTATGTTGCTCTATTTATTTAGGGGTGATATTACTGGTTAATATCTTGCTTACTTTTTGTTTGGGGGGGGGGGGGGGGGGGTTTGGGGAAAATCTGGAAACACCCCCTTTTTTTGGTGGTTGTTTTTTTTTTTTTTTTTTTTTTTTTTTTTTTTTGGGGGGGGGGGGGGTGGTGTATGGAGAAAATCTGGAAACACCCCTTTATTTAGGTGTCTAGATTACTGGTTGCATGTACAAAACGTATTGTTTTTACCCTCGTTTAAATCTAAAGCTTCTTATATTGTTGTTTCTTTTCATGAAAAAAGAATTTCAGTTATTGGGATGATTTATTATTTATAGACATGTAATTCAACACTCACGTATGCAAGCCAAGAATGCAGAAATTATCTTTGTAGAGACCATGTTGATAATTTTTGGGGATCACTCTATATGAACTGTGATATTTGCTCGAATGGTGTGGTGTTAACTCCTCATTAAATGTCCCTGAAAATAAAATATAAACACATTTATATACATCCTTAAAAAAAATGATTTTTTTGTTTTTTTTTTGTTGTTGTTGTAAAAACGGTCCATACGAGCGAACCTCTCGGTTATGAGTATTTTAATACATTTTTCTTAGTAAAAATGCCAGATCAAAGAAGGTGAATAAAAACACCTTAAATTACATTTGTACTAAGAAATAATATAAAATAATATTATTTAATTTCACGTAGGTGGATGTCTAAATTAAAAATAAAAAAAATAGATAAACGTGTCCTTGTTGTCAAGGCTATGATGATAATCTATTTAGTTAGATTGAACAGTTTTTACAATGAGTTTTGAGCGGTGTTAATGATTTGTTAGTAAGAATGTTTGGTGTTAAGAAAATATGTGCAGATGTGCTTGTATTGGTGACGTTTTTGGATATGAGAGATAACGTGTTTGTCGTTATAATTTTGTTGTTTTATTTTGTTGTTGTTTTTTTGTTAGTTGATGTTGGAGTTAACCAGAGGTGGACAAATTTGATAGATTTGACAATAAGATTTCGTAAGTGTGTTGTTGAAAGTTACCTGGATTCCAATGTATCAAGTGGTGTGGGCATACACCTCAGATGATCGCGAATTTAAAGTACAGCTTTGACTTCACAAAGCATTGCTGTCATTTTTGCTCGCAATTATTAGCGTGATCCTTGACAGATGAGAGTGAAACTGTTTATAACAACAAAGCCGGAAAATACTGGCTGGGGTCTTGACAAGAGAACGTAGTACTTAGACAATAGTGACAGATATTTTTTTTTTCTTTTTTTTTTTTGTTGGATGCCTAGCTAACAAAAATTTAAAATGTTCTTATTTAAAAATATTTCTAACAAACACATACAAAAAAAATTAATAACTTAAATAAAAATTAATAACAAATTAATGAAATATATTTTAAAAATAAATACAATTCTGTATATAAAATAAAACATTGTATGTCTATCTATAGTCCACATAAGATTATACAATGACATTTCCTCTACGGTTAGATCGATGGCATATTATTAATGACATCAAGAGTGTCTGTTGTTGGCAATAGTTCAGAACTGCCCCAATGAGCTGGTGATGAGCCAAACTCATCTATTATTTGTCACTCCATTGTGTTTGTACTGTCGAAAATGTAATAACGCCATTATGTTGCTATTTGTCAGCCATTCCAATATATCTGTATGTGATTTTAAAAAAAAAATAAAAAACATCGGGCAACAAATATTTTAAAATAACATATTGACTACATATACCACAACTGCATATTGCCATAACAATACTTCAAGATAAACATCAACTAAAGTTTTATGATCTCGATTAGCAAAATGTCCAGATAATTAAATCATATTATACATCATGAGTCTGGGACTTTGTTTAACCATTCCCAACATTTATGTCCTGAAACAGACTTCACATCCTCAATTTGAATGGTAGAATCTAATATACTATCTCATTTCAAAATATTTAATGAATCTAGGTTCAGCTAGTGGGCCAACATGTCGTGTACAAGAAAGACATTAAGCTAAACTAGTTGCCCAGCAACCAATACCCCAACACATGTTCGGTGTTCTTTATTTAGCTGGCCACATATACTGTCACAAGAGCAAAATATTTCTGAGGAATTCATTTCTTATAAAATTTTTGTAGGTCTATTGAGCTCCGATTAACACCCAGATTTTCATTTTTAAACTAGTTGGGGTTATGTATCCAGTTTGCCGACCCGTAAATTAGATAGTATCACATATCATAATTAATTAACTCGACTCCAACATTCCGATCTCAAGTTTTATTTTCATGTAGGCCTGACGCAAAAGGCTATGGTTAATGCGCAAATAAAGTGACCACTTTAAACGATTTGTCATAGTTAAGCACAAAAATGACACTCGCTTGTTTATGGCCAAACTGTTGTGTCACTAGGGGCCCCCCTCAAAGAAGAGGGGATTGATACCAGATGAAAGCTTTAAAAAAAATTAATAGTTTTACCTAGTGTCGGTTTCATGACAGAATGCATTTTAAAACAAGATCGGGAATCCACCAGAACAGGTGCCACCATAGCGACATTTGACGAGAACAGGGTGCCACCCTAGCGACATTTGACCATAACAGGCTGCCAAAATAGCGGCGTTTCAGCAGAACAGGGTGTCAAGTGTCAACAGGAAGGGTTTCCATCAGACCAAAATGTCCACAGAGCAGGTTGCCAACAGAACAGGTGTTACCGGATCAGGAAAGCCCTGCCAACACAACAGGATATCACCAGAAGAAAGTGTCAACCGTCCTAAGAATCTCTCCCAAGCCTCTCATTAAGTCTACAATTCTTTCTCACACTCTATGCCGTCTGTTGCTCCATGTGAGAGAAATTTTCAAAATTGAAACTTATAAACAACTGACTGTTTGCCTTCTATCATCTGGGGTCAGAATTTTTTGGTCTTCCAATTTAATCATTGAACGTGACAGGGTGAAGAATATTGATAATGTTGATGTGATGGACAGTGTGCATCTTTAGAGACAAAGAAAGTAAGTTACAATAACAAGGCAAAGTTGTTGGTTCTTAAAAAATTGGGATAGATTTCTTAAAAAATAAATAAAGATAAGTTATGTTACTTGAGGAACATGTGTGACCACTACATCCTCATGGCTTTTATGATTTCAAAAATAAATAAACGTATATATATATTTCAATATATGTATAGGTATATATCACAACCTTGAAAATTATGTAAGTAAATATAGGCCAATCTGTAACCCACAGAATTCGATAATGCTAACTAACACCTCCTATTATCGTTTTTCATTATTATTATTTTATTATTATAATTGCTTTTATTATTATTCATTTTTTTTATTTATATAAATATGTACCTATATTATTTTGTTAAGCTAATTTGATAAAATATTTTTCAGGCTCAGTTCACACTATCAAATTCCTTTCAATTTTTCGTTCATACATTTGATGTGATTTGTGTATGAAGTTTTGCCACAACTTTCAATCATTTGATCAAATTTTGATGCATACACTTTTTTTAAATACCGGTATTATTACACAACCTCCATATCACGTGAACAAACACTAAACAGAATCTCCAAATGAGAATCATGTACTTAATTTAGAAAAAAAATATATAATTTAAAAAAAAATAGACAATAAATGGGCGTATGATATGTATCCTTCAAAAGTGTGAGTAATTTGACCATTTTGATAAATCAGCTGTAATGTCACGTGCATAAAAAAAGTAATGCTGTGATAGGTTATCGCGTCTAACAACTTAGAATTTAATAAATTTGTATAAACTAAAAAAAAAAATAAAAAAATAAAAACTTGTGAAGGAAAATTATTAAAAACGCAGTAAAAAGAATTAAATTACCAGCATGACTGACAAAACCATGATTTTATTTTAATACTGGATCTATATCCAGCACAATCATAGTGCAACCATTCCAGACAATGATCACACTTTACCATCTTTAACTCTCCATCATCTATAGTTTGACAAGAGAACTGAATGTTTTCTTTTTCTCTAAGTGAAATTCTGTTTATTATTTGGCCTGCCCTTAACTCGTACTCTTTTTAAAATAATATTAGAAAAATTAGCATTAGTTTCAGGAAGTGAGTGTTCATTGTCAGAGCATATACAAGGTAAGGATTGAGCATCAGTTAAACTAACTGCTACTGCTATTTCGGAAGAACAAGGTAGTGACTCAACATTACAATTGGCGCTGGTTGAACATGTCAGTGAATCTACACCATTAATGAGAATAGTAGTAGTGGAAGTTATAATATTAACAGATGGACAATGCACTGAATCAGCATCAGTTAAAGCAGGATCTATAGGTTCACTGCGTGTCAATTCAATATCATTAACAAAAGCAGTATAAGTAGTAGCACTAGTTAATGAATCAACATTTAAATCAACACTAGGCACAGTGATGTCAGTATTTGTGAAAGCTTGCTCAATAGGAGCACTGGCTGCAAAATCTGCTACCAACATGTCATCGCAGGAATCAATGCCATGCCAGAGATTGATTAAATGCCTGACTTGAAGATATTTGTCTTTAAAATCAGTGTCTCCAAGCAAAGGCAAATAGGAAGAAATTTCACTAACAAGTTTAGAGGTCAATAAATATTTGTCCTCTGGGGCACTAAGATTTACATTAGAAAAAATGTGTTCATTAATGGCACCAGTGTTTTGTACAGTTTGATGCAGGCAGTCAAAATGAGCTTTATTCTTGAACCTGTGGTTAAAAGTCACTGGTTCATAAATAGAAAGACCATTCTGCTTTCTAACAAACTTTACATGTTTACAGTATAAATCAAAACTTTAAAAAAAATAACAAGTGCAACCATTATATGTTGCAACAGATTGTGTGTTGATACACTATATTAAGCATTAAAAGAAGGCTCATTTGATATTTGAGTACAATGAAACTCAACTTTTCCTAACGTTAAAAAATGCTGAACAAAATATTCAGCATCAAAATGTGTTAATAAATCATTTTTTATTTGATTAATAACTGGATCATTGGGTATGATAATGTCTTGCATTTGAATTTAAAATTGATGATAATTTTGAGGATTCCACATGGTTTTTGGTGGTCAAGCCCAAAGTGATGGTGTCTAGATTTAAATGCCTGGCCCACATTTCATGCTTATTCCACCAGTTGTCCTCAAAATAGGTTATAACCTTAACAGGTGCAATATTTGTTATTTCATGTTTTAAAATGTTGAACTGGCTTACAGAATCTGTCTCTTTCATTGAAAAAAATAGATTTTTAATAGCCTCAATTAAAAGGGAGGTTAAACCTCTTTTTGTTAAGGGAAGCGTTATCCACACAGCTCTGTGAATAATGTTTAGCGTTATCGGCAGACCGAAATCTGCGAATAATCATATAATTAATTAGAACTAGACTGGTGAACAATTATTGTTGGATGTAGGCTATTAATATTACTATTAGTAGGCCTATACTGAACCGTCATGAGTTATTATCTAATTTTTTTCACTATCAATTATAAAAAAGGGCAAATTTATTACTTATATTAGTTTGGTAATATCTGTATACCGGTAGTATAATAGTAATAGCCTATAACTATACTAAATATTATGCAGTATAAAGTATATACACAATTGTAGTATAAGTAATATACTTAGTTACTTAGCTTAATCAGTATACGCATACATGGGCGCCCGCAGAAAACTTTTTTTTGGGGGGGGGGTGTTATTAATAACTAAGTGTTATTTCAACTATTTCTGGAGCGGCATATTGTGTCCCTACTTATTATGATAGGTATGTTCATTTCATTGTCATCACTAAGTGTTATTTCAACTATTTCTGGAGCGGCATATTGTGTCCCTACTTATTATGATCCTTATTAGAAAATAAAATGAAACAAATAAAACGTGACATATTTTTCAGCTAAACATTAATACACAACTCTGAGATCTAAAATATTTGAATAAGTAAGTTATTAATAATTATTTGTTTATTAGAGAAAAAACAAATGGATGTTAAAGTCTATGAGTGGAATTATGCAAAGAAAATTAAACAGTCAAAAGAGCTAAAAGTATATCACAATGTACAGTTAGAACAGCTGTATCTGACTTAAATATGGTTTATGCGGCTGCTCTGCATGATCATGTTGTTTACAGTTTTTAACGAAACTTAAATGAACATTCTAACAAAATAGATTGAAACTTGTAACAATACTATCTGAAAATAGTAATAAAACTATGTGAACAGAAAAAGAAAGCTATAGGAGGAATATTATTATAATATAACACTACGAAATAACCCTTTAAATTTTTTTTAATTTTATTTATCAAATTGAGGCATCCCCGACGGTGAATCGAACCTATGTCTGCTGGGTGACGGTCGGAGATACTGACCACTACACTACCGAGGAGATGTGTTAACGAACTTTGTATTTTATATTCATAATTTAATTTATCACATTCTGCGAATAATGTCCAGCGTTATCGGCAGACCAA